ATTAGACAGATAATAATAGTAATAATATATAATATATATATTATAGCAGTATTGGAGACTTTTCTTTGGTGGGCACCCAGCTTTTCTTCAAAACCATATCTTGCTCCAAACCAGAATCATCTTAATAAGAGGAAGTTTTTTTGTTGCTTCAATTGTAAAGTTCAAATTCTGTTCACTGTATCTATTCCATAAAAGTATGTTTATTCCCAATTGTGAATACCCTACATTTATTTTTGGTTTACTATATTTTTTTAACTGCAAGTCAAAAGTCACAAGTATATGCCTAAGAATATTCGAGTGAGCTTTATTTTATTATTCCATACTGTCTTGCCCTGCAGCGAGGAAAGTTTGAATACACTGCTGAGTTTGTGACTTGCCTAGAAATGTCACAGCAGAAAATGAGGAAGGTCTGTAAAGGAACACAAGTCAACACACAGATCCAACCTGTCTCTGTAAATACAGCTACTGCAAGCACTGGTTTGGCTACCCATCTGTACTTCTGCTTTTTCCAGCTACCTAACAAGTTGGAATAGTGTTTACTCCTGGTTTCCCCAAACATTTCCAACTCTTTATTTCTGTTTTTGCTGTCCTTCACTACCCCAGATTGCTCATTAAAGTCACTTGAGCAACCGCTTTTTCGACTCTGACATTGTTGCTGCTGTTAAATCACTTCTGCCATGTCTCATGGTTACACTTTGCTGTGTTTCTATGTCCTCTTTACTGTGACCTTCTAAACCATTCTGAGCACCCTTCTTTTTCCTTTTACCACATCCTACATAGTGTTTTGCCCTCACTCCAATCTCAGACAACTCCCCAAATCGATGAGCAAAGTCAGTTCCTCTCTGTGACCTCTGTGAAACTTTGGTAACTACCAGGAACTCATAGTGAAACACTAAGATTTTTCAAGGTTGGCTGCACTGTACCATCACAAGAGGTTGCACATGACAGCATTCACCCCTTCTCTTGTATCTGTAATAGTATCTCAAGGTTTGCTGTAAGGTAACTTGGAATTTGATGACAATTATGATAGGAAACAAAGCACCTAGTTTATCTGGGGTTTTTATTATCAACACAGCACATCCTGCTGAGTGTTGAATCAAATTCAGCATATCCCATCACCTTTGGTTTCCTCTTGGTTTTGTTGCTTCTACAGATGACACTACTTTAAATGAAAACAGTAACAAAATTCCATCAATGATGCTGCTAAGGTTTGTTCTGTTTGTATTCTATTCCTTCTCTCAAAGGTTCTCCCAGTTTTACTGTCAAATAAAGCTTGAGTCAAAGGTAAATGGCTCTAATCCAGCAACAGACTAGCTCTATGCAGAAATACAATTTTTAAATAAAACCTTTGTTCAAGCTCTAATCCAGCAACAGACTAGCTATATGCAGAAATGCAATTTTTAAATAAAACCTTTGTTCAAGCAAACAAATCAAAACCACTGCTGAATAGAAACTAATGCATACCCAGTGGTCATAAGACTTTGCATCAAATTCTACTGTAAAATCCTTCAGAGGAGAATAGAAACTCTCAGTCAGGAACAGAAAAGATTAACATAGATCAAAGATATTTTGTAAAGTGTAGGTCAATTTTATACTATGGATTTGTTCTTTCCAAAGAATCAATAAATTCTGGTACCTGGTGCAATAATGTTAAATGGCTCCAGTCTTAAACCCAGATAAAAGGCAGATTGCTATCAGTCACTTGTAATGTGATGAACTGGATGTGCTTAGATAAATCAGCTAGATATTAGTGAATGCATCTGCCTGTTTACATCATCTTTTTGGACCACGAGTCTTACAGAAGTGAGGTCCACAGCCAAGCTGAGTGGAGGAAAGAGAATCACTGCTGGAATCACATCTGGATTTTGTCATCAGATCACTTATACAGTGTGAGAAAGGACAGACACCTGCCCTGAACTAGACTTAAGCAGCTGAGTCAGAGTTTATTCTCCCTCTCATGGACTTTTGAAGTTTGTACTATTCATATGCTAAGAAAAACAGATTTCTAAACATGTCATGCTGAGCCCAGGCTAATGTGCCCTTTAATCACTGTGGTAATTGACAATAGTTACAGCAAACAGCTTAAGGTCTTTTTGGACTTCACATGTGTACAATATCATCCACAATCTGGAATCCAAGGGCAGGGGCTGTGGACACAGGACACCACAAAAAACTGAAGCATCCAACGAGTGAAAGCCAGGTACAGGATTTCTTACCTTTAGGACCTTTACGACCAATCTCCCCAGGGGGACCTTTAAGGCCAGGCAAGCCACGGGGACCAAGTTGTCCTGGGAATCCATTTTCACCAGCAGGTCCTGGAGCACCTGGTGGTCCTGGTCGGCCAGGGAGACCTGGAGCACCAAATTCTGGCCTCCTAAGACTGGCTGCCAGCTGAGCGAGTTGTTCTGCAATGAACAGGACAGAGTTAAGCTGCAAGTGGATCTTGGAGAGATTCCCATGATGCCCTGGTGATACCTGATTCCATGATTCCCTGGTGAGACACTGGAACAGGTTACCCAGAGAGGCAGTGGATGCCCCAACCCTGGCAGTGTTCAAGGCCAGGCTGGATGAGGCCTTGAACAACCTGATCTAGTGAGGAGGTGTCTCTGCCCAGGGCAGGGGTTGGGACTAGATGATCTCTAAGGTCCATTCCAACCCTTAAAATTCTATGACCACTGAAGAACCTGTATATTCTCTGCTACAGAGTCTCACAGATTACACTACTGCACCTTCCTTTTGGACAATGCTATTTACAAAGTTTATTACATATAAGATATTATCTTAGGACTACCAGTAGCAAGCTGCATAGGCACACTGTCAAAGTGGTCACTCTGAAGCCTACGTCTTGAAATTTTAATGTTTGCAGGCTGAATCGACGCATGTAGAAAGTGGTCACTCTGAAGCCTACATCTTGAAATTTTGATGTTTGCAGGCTGAATCGACGCATGTATATAGTTCATTCAGAAATATAATTCTCTATATAATTTAATTTGCAACCATTTAGTAAGAAAACTTACTCATGGAATTGCTGCCTCTTAAAAGAGTAAATATCTCTCTTCATGACTAGTTTTTAATCCTGTCAAGATCCATTTTTGCAGGAATCACAGAATCAGTTAGGTTGGAAGTGACCACAGTGGGTCATCTGGTCCAACCTCCCTACTCAAGCAGGTCTATCCCAGACCACATGGCTCAGGGTTGTGTCCAGATGATTCTTGCATACCTCCAGTGAGGGAGAATCCATGACCTCTCTGGGCAACCTTTTCCAGTGCTCAGTGACTCACACAGTAAAGTTCTTAGGACAGTCATATATGTTGGTCTGGTAAGTGCAGACATTCTTTTTGAGTGGAAAGAAACCCTCAAGCCAGTGCTCATGAGCTCAGATTTGATAAATACTTGAACATTTCATGTTAATCTTTTCTTATAGTAAATCAGCAAGACTTTGCTCTTAATTAGGCATAAGATCAGCTTGACAGTCCTTGGAGTGGTTTAAGCTGCCTATTCCATTTTGCTCCTCATCCTTTCAGGCTGCTGCTCTAACAGGACAAGAGCAGTTCTCTCTTTCCTTAATATTTTTGTTCTAGACTTCAAATCCATCTTCCAAGCATGCCTTAGAATTATCTCTCTCTGGATACAAACACGCATATCTCCATATGACATTTGCTATAAAGTCTGAGTGACTTTGAAAGACTAGTTATTTTGTGTCCAGAGCCAAGAAATATTAAGATGATGGGGAATGGGGTGCAGAGCAGGTAGAAACTGAAATAAAATAGGAACTATAGCCAGCAGGTATATGAGGAAGCCTGGGCACAGCTCTCTGTGGGCAAAGCCTGAGGAGCTGAACTTCAGTTACAGTTATCTTTAAGTTGACAAGGTTCCAAGGATCCACTTGGATTGAATTCTCTTGTTTTATTTTCCCTTCTTTTTTTAACATGGCAGCATTGACAATTATAGGGTCTCACAAAAGGGATGCAATCAAGAGATTTTCCCCATACCAATGTCTTCACTGCTGATTCTGATGGTTATGAATAAATTCAAGCACCAAATCTGATTTCACTACAGTCTTCCTCCCTATGACTGTGTCTTTCAAGACACCATTTTAAAAAGTTTTATATCCTATTTATAGAAGTATTAAAAAATACCCTGTTGGGCAGTGTCATGAACAGTGATGACAACTGAGAATTTTTAAATCACAAGCAGAAATTTCCTTCTGGTAAACTCTTAACATTACAAAGACATAATATCCCAAAGGGCATCTTCATTAGCAAGTACTGATAAGTTTCTTTTGTGCTTACAGGGAAGCATAAATTTTTAAACTCAGTAAATCCCATGCACCCAACCATATTAGAAAAGCTTCAGATTTCAATGTGTGTTAACAATGAAGCAAATATTATTAGAGTTTTGAGCATCTGCCTATTACTTTAATTTTATGGTATGCAATCTCCAGAAAGACTCTCTCTGCACTCCTGGATTTTTTTACCTATTTTGCACATAGCTTCTTTGCTGCAATTTAATAGTATATGAATAAAAGAAGGCTAACAAGCTTTCAGTGGAGTATTTTCTGTATACAAAGATAGCAAGTAATTTAAATAGAAAGTACAGGTATTTCATAAAAACACTCTGGTCTATGGTCTGCTCACTATAGCAATAGTGTGGAATCAACAGGTAGTTCAAAGAGGCTGCAAAGTACATATAAATAAGGGACTTTCTCATATTCTCTCATACTGTGTCTATATTCAGTTGTGGAAGGATTTTCTGTTAGGTCATGCAATTTGATCTGGGTAGGAGTGGGAAAATCTTGGCTGCCTGCACAGCAATAGATTATCCTGATTTAAATGCACAAGAAACATCAAATACTTTTTAGCATATTTACCTTGCATGACTCTCATGCAAACCTGTTTAATGTGCTGATCGGTTGGTTCTTTTCCCTAGGATGAAAAAAATAATAGATTTTTTAAAAAACAGTTGATGTCACAGTACATTTTATAAGTGAACCTGATGCAACAAAATGCTGGCAAGTTGTGACAGTTTAACCCCAGCTGGCAACTAAGCACCACACAGTCACTCACACTCCTCCTGCACCAGTGGGATGGGGGAGAGATTTGATAGGGTAAAAGTGATAAAACTCATGTGTTGAAAAAAAAAAGAAGGGAGGGAGGGTTCACTCTGTTCATAGGTGAGTGTTCAAAAGGCACCAATTACATGAAAACAGTACTTACAGCAGGACCTTCACTACCAGGCAGACCTGGGGCACCCTGTTCACCCTGCAAGCCTCGTGGTCCAGGTGAGCCTCGTGGCCCTTCTATGCCAGGCAGTCCTCTACTTCCCTCAGGCCCACGGGAACCAGGATCTCCAGGATTGCCAACCTGACAAAGGAGGAGAGGAATTTCAATGGACTGCTATGCTAGTGTTAGGCTCATCCTGACACATCAAAATGGTGATAGGAGTTATACACAAATGCAAAGCAATGAACGTTGGGATGTAGTTGTTGAACAGCTTCTTTTTGAACAAGCTACTGGAGTCAGTGGTTGTGTGATTTATAAGAGGTCTGTATTCCTCACTTAGAGTGGAGAAGTAGAAAAGTCATATATACTGTCAAGAGAGGTAAATCAGCATTAATAGTGGCATGCAAAGATGGGGGGATTTTGTCCAGGAACAGATCTCCTCTACTTGGTTTCTACTTCTGCCCTCATGCTGGGAGTTTTGTCCAGGAACAGATCTCCTGTACTTGGTTTCTACTTCTGCCCTCATGCATGTCAACATGCAACTTTTTCTAGGCATTAAGTACTGCTTAAGTTACAAAAATTCCAGTTCCTCACTTGTTCCAAATGCCTTTCATGTCCTTTTGTAAAGAGTACCATGGTATGAGCCTATACCATCTGGCCAGAGGCTGTTTGGGAACATACATTTTAGCTTTGTTTAATCTGTCAGATCTAGTGTTAGTTCTAGTGCCTAGTTTGCTGGCATGGGGGAGAGAACATCCTCACATGCACTGACATTGACAAACTGCCTGACCAATTTAATGCCACTTTATTTCACTCAGGGAAGAGGTAGAAAGAGTTGTTTTACTGATATAAGCAACCTGACTCCTGAGGAATGAAAGAGTTGATGTGACTATGTCAGTATGTCCACTTAAGTACAGTTTTTTTAAAAAAAGCTATAGCTGCTGCTTTAGCAAATTTTCTAAAAGGTTTTTAAAAAAAGCTACAGCTGCTGCTTTAGCAAATTTTCTAAAAGTTGTTAAATATCATGAAGAACAAGACCTATGCCAACAGGCACCTCAGAGTTACTGTATTGGGTTTGCATGGCCAGGTTCTGGTAGTGAGGGGCTACAGGGGTGGCTTCTCTGAGAAGCTGCTTGAAGCTTCCCCCGTGTTTGACAGAGCCAAAGCCAAACAGCTCCAAGATGGACCCACTGTTGGCCAAAGCCAAGGCCTAGCCAGTCAGCAATGGTAGTAATGCCTCTGGGATAGCATATTTACAAAGGAGAAAAGGTTATTTCCCAAAAGAATTAAATCCAGAGAAGAGAGTAGTGAGAATCTGTGAGAGGAGCAGCTCTGCAGACACTGAGGTCAGCGAAGGAGGGGGAAGAGGTGCTCATGCTGGAACTGATATTCCCCTGCACCCCATGGTGCAGATCATGATGAGACAGGCTGTCCCTTTGCAGCCCATGGAGGTCCATGGGGGAGCAGATAGCCACCTACAGTCCCTGGAGAACCCCATGCAAGAGCAGGTGGATGTATCTGAGGGAGTCTGTGACCCCATGGGAAGCCTGTGCTGGAGGAGCTCCTGGTAGGACCTGCAGATCCATGGAGAGAGGAGCCCATGCTGGAGCAGGTTTGCCTGCAGGACTTGTAACCCTGTGGGGGACCAACGCTGGAGTAGTCTGTTCCTGAAGGACTGCATCCCATGGAAAGGATGGAGCTGGGGCAGTTCATGAAGAACTGTAGCCCATGGGAAAGACTCACACTGAAGAATTTCATGGACTATCTCCCATGGGAGGGACCCCACACTGAGATGGAAGCAGTGGCAGAAACAACATGTGATGAACTGTCTGTAACTCACATTCTCCATTCTCCCTTTGCCACTGGAGGGGAGGAGATAGAGAAACAGCAACAAAGTTAAGCTCAGGAAGGAGGAAGAGGTGGGTAGAAGGTGTTTTTCAGATTTGGTTTACTTCTCATTATCCTAACTCTGATTTTGATTGCTAATAAATTCAGTTAATTTCCCCAAGTCAAGTCTGTTTAGCCTGTGACAGTGACTGGTAAGTGACCTCTGCCTGCCAATATCTCAACCCACAAGCCTTTCTTTGTATCACTGCCATTATCTCAACCCACAAGCCTTTCTTTTTATCTTCTCTCTCCTGTCCAGTTGAGGAGTGACAGAGAGGTTTGGTGGGCACCTGGTGTCAAGCCAGAGTCACACCACCATGGTTACTTCCAATACAAGTTAATTTACTAGTATTAATCAATACTAGCACTAACAAAGAAAAAGAACACACAAACAAACAAAAGCCCCCCAAAAAAAACAACCCTGCACAACAAAACCCGAAACAAGTAGGAAAAAATAATCCTACATACTCACAACTTCCCAAATCTCCTAAGCTAAAAAGAAAAGAGCAAGACCTGCTGGAAGAGATGCTGAAGAACAAAATACTCAGCTGTGGAATCAGTTAAATCCACAGGATGGAGCCATTTCAGTTCCATCTGTGGTGCATCTCAGACAGCCAATTGTTGCTCCTGTCAGAAGAAAACCAACGAACACGCTTCAGTAGATTTATGAAGAAGACAGAAAAATTGCCTTTATGGACTCTACAAAGAGGAAGTCATCATTCCTTTCTGCCCCAGACTGGTGAGTTATCAGGTTCCCTGATGGATTACTCAGCCTTGTGTAGGTACTCACTCGGATGACAATCACTCTAGGGTCTCCTCAAGAGAACAGGATTTTAAAAATCTAGGTGAATAAAATTGTGGATTTCTCCTCTATCTCTTTCCCATGTCCTTCTTGTAGGATCTCGATCAGCAGCTAACACTCTCTAGTTTGCATTTGCTTAGCCCCAAAATCACTCAGGTCACTAAGAACACCAGGTCAGTTTTTTTGTTACAGTCATCCTCAGTTCCCTGTAGGCAGAACTGTTGGTATTCTAGCAGCACAGCCTATACTGTCAGATACAGTGACAATCCCACTCTTCAGTGGTCCTGAAATAAAACAATCAATTCAGCTCTCAAATTATTTTTCTTAGGAGACATACAAGCTTCTGCTCAAAAAGGTATCATTTTGTAATTAGAGGAAAAAATATATTAAAGAAAAGAGGAATTTGGGCCACGTATTCTTCTGGTTTCACAGACATCACAATCCTTCTGTCAGCTTTTTCACAGTGTACAGGTTACAGGCTGAATGCAGCACTGAGCCTCCCTTCTACACAACACCTACTGCACAAAGAGTGCATTCATTTTCTTAAGAAAATAAAAATTAATTGGCCAGAAAGCTGCTGCTGAATGATGCTTCTCTTTTATTGAGATAAAAGCCAGGAAATGAATTCCTTTCCAAAGCTAATTAATTTTAATATTAACTGCATTCAAAATTTAAACAGAAGAAAAGCTGCCGAAGCTCATATGATTTAACTGTGATAAGGAGCTCAGCTTGTTATTTGCACTTTTTTTTCTTAAATCAGAAAACCACCTATCTGATCTAGTAGACCTCTGTGTTTCTGTAACAATATTATTCATTATACTTACAGCTCCTTTTGCTCCTGGTAATCCCATATCACCCTAAGCAAAAACAAGACAAACTGTTAAGAAAGAGTATCTGTTACCACAGACATTACAAATGCAGTAAATTTGATGTGGTTTTATTCACTATTAATAAAAATTTTCACATATTTGCTTGATTTACTAAGACCTTAAATTAATTACAATAATAAAAATAAAACCTGAATTTCAAGGGGTTTTTTTTGTAAAATTCCTTTCTCAAAATCATTTCTGTAAGGTGCTCCTGAGAGAATACTTCTGTTATATTTGGTTTGTTATTGCTTATCTTGGATTAGACATATATGGCTCTAACATCTCAAACCACAGCTACAGCACAGACAATCTGACATAGCAGATTTCATGCAAACCTTTAGAGGAAGCATTATTTAATCAGGATTTTCTAGCTTGACAGAACTATACATATCAGTGTTGTGTTAGCCCTGAAAAAACTGCAACAGAAACCAGGCAAGTCTCTACTTAATATGCTGTGAAGAAGCCAAATCCCTAGAAGTTGCTATTCCCTGCAACCTTCCCCCTGGCTTGAACAACACTAAAATCCCTCTATCACCTGCCTGAGAATTGTAAACTTTCAAAAATCTTTTATTCACCTATGAAAACACCAAAGAAACAGAGTTACTCTTGGAGAAATTTCTGAAAACTCTATTTGCCCAGTTCCTAAATGTCATTGGTGAAATAATTGGTTTCTAAAGGCTACAAAGACCTGTCTGTTAATGAATATGCCATAAGTGAAATAGATATAACAATTGTTACAGGTTTAAAACTAGGCTAACTGGCACCACACTAAACAACCCATAGTATTTCCTCCTGGGAATTTGTAGAGTGATTGCAAAGCTCAGTAACTGGACATTCACTGGGGCTGATAATTAAAATGCTCTCAGAATTGCTGTGTTTAGGGAAAAAAAATCTCATTTTCAGTACACAGCCTAGCTACCATCTTTTAAACTGGGAGCAGTTTACTTCCTTTAGAAAGATCAAGTCTGGCTTTGATGGGCCCCATAGAAGATGTTGGACTAGTGTGTTTCTCTTTCTGCAGAAAAACAAATTGTCTTTTCCCAAGGGCACATGACCCAGGCATTACCCTTGTGAATTCACACCATGCTGAACTCCTGCAGTATATTCATATATATATATATTCATTCCTTCAGCAATATCACAGTGCCACAGCCTCTTCCCAGACTATTCTCCTTCTCCCTAACAGCCAGTTGCAAATCTTATTTCCAAAGAGAAAGTCAATACAAGGTATTTCCATCAAGTCTGAGTTATTAGAGACCTTTGTTATGTCTGCTCCTGTTTCCCCTGAATTAAACTACCTCCTCATCCTTGCTGCCTCAAACATCAAGAATTTATATGCCTGTGTATGCATATATATATATAAGCTTAGTCTAATCTCCACATATGTATCTCCTGCATACACACACATATACACCCTACCTCAAGGCAGTCTGTAATATGTTATACACTAATAGAGAATTATTTCAGAGTGTTTTTCAAACTGGGCCAATAGAACTGCTGTGTTCTGCAATGCCCAGTTGGTATAAAACTGAAATGTGGCTTGCAATTATGAAAATATATGCTTGAAGCACTTAAGCAATGCTTTAAAGTATTCATTTACAACTACAAAATATTATATCAGGTGAAGAAAAACTGATGCCTTACTAAGTCACCCTTTTCTCCTCCATCTCCTTCTGCTCCAGGTGCACCCTATAGCAAAGAAAGATACACTGTCAGCCTTAAGATTTAACCAACATAATGTACTGCAGCATTTGGCAGTGGGACTTGAAAGTACCATGACTTCTGACATAACTTACTTGTTCACCCTTAGGTCCTGGTTCACCAACTGAACCCTAAAAGGTTAAAGATAAAAAAAAAAAAAAAGTATTAAAACGTTCGGAATTTCAAACTGCAAGTTCAAAAGCATACTAAAGGATCTTCAGACCTCCCTGCTATCTAGAAGTAATGCAAGTGACCTTTAAAGCTGTAAATTTTTGAGAATGACAGTGAAAGCACTTAAATCTTCCTCTGTAATTTAGGTGGCAGACTGAAGGCGAGTGCTAGTGTGGAACATAAAATCCACTGCCACAGTGGATGGTACAGATACTGACAGTCAAACAGTGTCTCCCCTTAACATGGCAGATGCTCCTGCAGCTACTCCAAGTCTGCTCTGTAAATTGCTTAGAAGCTCTAAGTAAAAAAATCCAGTAAGTGTAACACTTTCTCTAGCACTATTAAGTATTCCATAGTGCTGCAGGCTATCCTAGCCCTGCTAATGTGGGATAAGCAGAGAGTCATCCACAAGTGCAGTCACAACCTTGTCTTGCTTGCTGTTTAATTCTCAGTGTGTTTTAGCAACACTGTGTCTAGAATTTTGATCACTGCAGTCAAAGCTGAAGGGTTTTTATCTTAAAGTTGACTTTTTTAAAAAATAAATAAATAAAATTGTGCTTCATCTTCAAATCCTGTAACAAAATGTACCTGTTTGGACAGGCAGAAACCAAAGACAAATAAATTAATTACCTGATTAATTTCAAACATACATAATTTGTTTCTACACTAAATGTATTTCATTTTAAAACATTGTATTATTTAAGGAAATCTTAGCATTTGTGTCGTTAGAAAACCAGTCACACCATCCTTTAATGTTCTTTGTAGTCTGTGCACATTCGAATATATACATTCCAATGAACTATAAGGGTGACTGATCATATTTTTTTTGTAAAACAGAGATACACCATTTTCTCTCCCATTTCAGAGATACATTTAATTCACACAAGATATAGGCACACAGACTGGTCTAACATTTACACATTAATGAATTCAGACTTGTTCTTGAGGATGAAGAGCCAATACTAAATTATCCACAAAGCTAAGCAGTATAAATCACAGAACTATTTAACATTCCAACTTTGTCAAACATCACTGGAACTGTTTTGTTTGAAAGGCTCTCAACATTGTGTCTTATTAAGGTTTTTCAATTACTCACACAAAAAAGACATTGATTTCCAACCTAACAGCATTTTGGGGGTCCTTTTTCTCCACTTACTCTTCTTTGGAGCTATAAAACTGCCAATATATAAGGTTGGCATAGGAGAATCTATTGATTTGTGAACCTTGGCCTGGAATGTTTGTATTAGTAAACAAAAAAATCACAGTTGAAGCTACCTGAATCTCTTCTCTATTGACTCCCAAAAATTCAATTGAGACAATAAGGTAAGATGTCAAGCTATGAAAACACACAATTTTTTAACATACTGTTTATCTACTTGCAATAATCCCTCTCAAATTCATACTCAGGATTTGTTTGCAAAACTACCAATCTGCATCATCCAAAACTGTACCAGGGGCTACTCCAACTATTTAGCAGCACAAAGGATCATGTTCCAGTGCCAAGGTCCAGGGCATCACCTAGTGCTGTTTAACTTACTAAAACAGGCAGAACCAGAGTATCTGAAACCAGTTCAGAACATGTGACTCAGAAACAGCTTGAGTGGTAGATGCTGATTTTTTGCCATTATCCATAATGCATATGTGGAACCACTCTGTAAGAGTCACTGAAGTGTGAGCCACTGCTGTAATACTGTTTTGCACTGCTCTCTCTGCTATAACATGTCATGTGTGCAACAGATGCACTTGACTCCTTGCCCAAACTAGTGACAGCCTAGTTCAGGCTCCAAAGGAGGCAAAGGCCTAGGCTGTGACATCCTTTGCCAACCTGCTCTCCGAAAAACACAGACAGGGGCACAGTGAGTTGGTAAGCATTGATGTATGTGGGCTTGGAAACTGGAGCAGAGGCCCTGAGATTAGCACATGGTATTATGCTTGTAACTTTGAATTACTGCTGTATCCTCTGCAGTCAGTAACAGAGTGAACCCTGCAATCGAACTTTGTCAAGTCTCAATTTTACATCTTCCTTCAATAAAAACACTTTAGCTCATATCTTTGGCAGTTATTCTTTAAGTGCTCATTGCCAGCACCTCTTAAAGTGCCAGCAAAGAGTACCCAATACTGCACAGCTTTGGGATCAGAAATGACTAGTGAAATATCAAATAAGTGAATTCTGGCTGCTATTTACATCATCTCTTGTCATGCATACATGGCTTCACAACAGAACTGTGTGGGATCCTTGTGTAAAAAACCTTGAAGTCTTGAAATCTTACTATGCCATTTAGGTGACAGACTGAAGGCAAGTACTAGTATGAAACATGTAATCCACTGCCACACTGGATGGTACAGATTCTGACCATCAAACAGTAGATCTCCCCTTAACATGGCAGATGCTCTTGCACCATTCACTCCCCAAGAAAGGGAAGAAAGGTTACTTCAGACTGGAACTTACTCCTAGCAGTGGTTGACCAAAAACTAGGGTTAACAGGCTAACCTGTTTCCAAACCCTGACAAGGTTGTTTGGTTCTAAGACTGATGCAGTTGCACAAGTTGAACAGGGAAGAGGAAGGATAGAGTTGTCCAGTGTTCTCCAAGCTTGTGACTTGGAATACATACTGCAGATCAGTGCTGCTGGCAAAGCTTCTGCCAGGTTGAGCCTGCCCCAGAAAACACACTCTATCCTCTATGCAACTGAAGCAAAAAAAAAGATGGATCAAGGATACAAGTGGACACCTGTCTCAAACCAGGAAAGCTGAAAAGCAGTCATAGGATGAGAAAATTGCTAGCACAGCATTTTGAACTCTAAGGTATTTGCACAGGGCATTAAACTGACCTGAGGATTTTAAAAAAGCTTAAAAATGCTCCAGGCATAAGTTACTGACATCTGCCAGGTAGATAAGTAGAAAACTCCTGGCTTTAGCCTGAATCTCTCTGGATCTGTTTACAGCATTTACATTCTGCTCTGTATCCTACAGGTCCAGACCCTTTACACAGCAGCAAATGAGGAAAATCAGACACCTTTGGAGGGAGATTGTCAGCACTGCAACAAATACTAGTTATTTTCCTTCCACATTTGCTTCTTCAGGTACTTTCAATCTCCCTCTGGGGAAGTCTAAAGTATGAATCATTACCAGTCTAATAAAAAGAGACAGCTTTATGTCAATAGTCACATTTGACTAGAAACATGTGTTCCTGATCTGAGTATTAAAACAAAATCAAACAAATAAACAAAAAAAAATCCACCTCAAAACCAGCAAATACTTAGAAACTTGTTTGTAAGTACCTGAGCAGCTTTCAAAAACTGCCAAACAGAAATGCAAGACCTATCTAGCAACCCTACGCTGTATACTGGGAGTATACCAGGGGAGCTAAGACATACAGAGCAGCAATACCTGTGTCTGACTAACTCCTATACTTCCTTGATTGTCACTGGAAAGTAAGAGGCATTTAATAAGTGGAATTCATTTAATATTGAAGCAGCGAGGCATTTCACAAGTGGAATTCATTTAATATTGAAGCAGATGCCTCAAGTAAAAAGGATAAAACAGTGCAGAACCATGTTCTATATTTCTATATATTCTATATATACTATTTCTAGAACTATTTCCATAATGAATATGACTATTTCTATACGAAATATGTCTGAAGTTTGGTGAGTGAATTGATACTCTGCAGTTTCCTACAACTAAGAGAAAATAAGAAACATTTTTGAGCTTATGTACTGCCTTCACTGACATTTATTCAGCAAAGCAAGATATCTTCTGCAGAGACCTCCAGGGTCCAGTTCTTCCCTCCTAAGCAAATACTGGAAGAAGCACTTATATCCTGCAATTCTGCATGTGTGCACAGGTGTCTCAAAAGCTGCACTAGCATTTCCATAGCAAGTCCTAAGACATAAGTAACAGGCATCATTTCTATTGTAGACCAGAGCTGAAGTTCCAAAGCTGTATAGTGGGCAGAGACCTGGCTTAAAATTTCAGATCTGGCTGTGTCAATGATTTGCAATATGATTTAGGCCTTTAAATTATTCTAAGCTTCCTCTCCCCCCTGAAAAAGGAAATATTTATGCCAGTAATCTTATTTCAGTCCCTTAAGTGACACTGTCAAGACTTTTCCCATATACTCTATGAGTTATAAGGAGTTAATAGACACTTAGAGCATCACTTTCAAGCAGTTAACACATCTATATACAGAACAAGAAAACAGACACTAATTCATGTGAAAACTGAAAACAGTGCTCAAATCATTGTGTTTATTCCTTACATTAAACTGCAGACTGTATGCATGAGTCCATTTCTTACCCGGTCACCCTTACCACCAGGTAGGCCTGGAGGACCAGGCAGTCCAGGAAGTCCAATATTACCCTGGGGACCCTGTGAAAATATGTCAAGGATGTAAACTTAGCCAATTTTGTTTAGAATGAACAACTAAGGGTCATACCCTGACAAGTAGATGGGGCAGAACCTTATTCCCAGAACAGTCTTAGCTTGATGAAAGAGGATTATCTGATGCAAACAGAGCTGATCTGAAGTACAGCACTGTAAACAGCATCTTATTATGAATGTATTACTGACAATCACAACAGAAAGGGTTTACAGGGCTTTCCACCCTTCAGTCCCACAACGATACAGTCTGTTTCTCTTCAAAATACTTCCCAGGATCTTGTACTCTGCGATTTGCACATTCCTCTGCAACAGTAGACTCTTTCAGCCAAGACCTCTCCAGCTCTGCTTTTGACTGATATGTGTAAATACTGCTGGAGCACTAGTAAAAGGTGGCATTCATAATCTGCTCCATTCATTAGTTTCATGTAGCTGTCAGCACAAAGCCAACCTTTCACTGCTCCTGTTCCCAGCTACACACAGCCCACACAGGAGTGTGCAATCCAGTTTAACACACTGTAGGATTCATGGGGCTTTTAAGTAGAAGAAAAAGTCACACACATCTCCATATACTTTAAAACAGCAGTTTCTAATATTAGTGTTGTCACAGAGGACTGAAAAAGAAACTGAAATGTAACTCATTTCAATGTTAGTTTCAGTCTTGTGCATGGATAAATGGGTGTCATTCCAGATGATGCCAGAGCTCCTTGAAAGCAAACACAAGTGTTGAATATGGAAATAAACTGCTTACCAATTTCCCTGGTAAACCTGGAGGACCCACAGGACCTGTCTCCCCTCTGCTACCCTGACAGGAAAGAAAAGGACAACATTATTTCCTGGACTACTTCCTCTGACCAGGAAATAAAGTATGATTTTTTTTTTTCTTAATGTTTAGTAAATTACACTACTTAACAGCTGGGTTTACTTGAATCTTCTGTTTACTAGTGCAAAAAACACCACATGCATTAAAGCCAATGAAAGTTTCTGAGAAATGTAAACATTTTCAGTTAACAATTGCATGTAATATTTAACTGGCATTAAATGATTCAACTAATTCACTCTCTTTAGTGATTATGCACAGTGGAGATCCCTTTGTGCATTGCACCTGAGAGTTACCTGTAGCAAACACATTTACTTCATTAAGACAACTCTGATGTGCACACTTAGCTTTAGTCTTTTGCTTAGTTTCATCAGCTGAGCTGCTACATGGCCACATACCCATGAAAAGCCCATGATCCCACATGAACAATGGACAAATGTGAAAAGTGTATGCAGAAGTCATGCCTAACAAAGTGATTTAGGTTCAAAAAAAAGGTCTAGACTGTTACAGGGAACTTAAAATCTCCATTCACAATCAATATTTGCTTTACTGGGTCTTTGTATCTTCACTGCAAATACATTTATCCATTCAGATCATCATTTTCACATTAGTGTTGCAACTCCATCTCTTAATGCAGCCATTTGAATATGTACTCTGGGTAAACCTGACATTGAGCCAAAATTTCAGAGATTTTAAACAATATTCAAACTAAAGCACTTTTCTTGAAAGATTTTGTCTCTTAGGATTAAACTTTTCGGAACAGCTCAGTAAATTTTATACCTTTACTCTCAAGTGTACAGACATATACTTGTAGAGATACATTCAGGATCCAAACACAGGCCTAAGACTGATTTGAGACACTTTTCTTACTTCTGCTTTGTGAATATGTAAGTGGTATTTGCATGGCACAGCATTTAAGATCATAATATATTGAGAATTGAAGTTATTAGATATCTAAGTTGACAAACTGCTATATAATAACTCATAAAATTTCAGATTAAAGCTGATCTAAGCATTGTAGTGCTGCATGCAATGCATTATTTTAAATACAGACTTTTTTTCATAATCAGAAAAATACAGTGAAATAACATAACACTAAATAAAAGGAGATGGCAGACCTGGCCTTTTCCACTAGGTCATAAATGCAAAGACAACTTCTCACACCAGCTTAGGAAAGCTAACTCTACAATTCAAGAAATAATTAGGCATCCTGGAGAGATCACAGAACCAAATACAGTTAGACTTTTCCATGCATTTCCTTCAAAATATCTAATACAAAAGAACTAATACCTTCAAAATAACAACTAACCTTTTAAAGTACATGGTATAATTTCTAGAAGTATCTTTATGTAAAAAAAAAGAAGGAAAAACAAAAGGAAAAGAAAAAAGCCCCAAATCACCTTCATCTTACAACCCAGAAGATGCATTAAACCTTTACTTAACCACATAATTCTGTGCTACATCTCTGACCTAGAATACTAATACATTTCTGATGCAGGAAAGAGGAGGATTAAAGTTATGATCAGTATTAGAATTCATCTTCTCATATATCCCATAAGAGTCATTGTTATACAGAGGTAAAACAAAAGCAGTTATCACCTTCCCCAGAGTTAAACACATATAATAAACCTCCAGAACATCAAGAAAAATATTTGATTTTATTTTAAATGCAGAAAAAATCTTTTTTAAATATACACCACAGGCACTTCCTCAAACACAAGGCTTTTCTAAGGAGGCAAGATCTGCAGTTGTGTTTTAGCAAGAGAGTTACTGTAATCCAAAGAACAACCAGGCATCCTGTTGGCCCATGGCATAACTAGAAAGACTGTAAATCTTCCTCCAAGTCATACCTGACTGAAATGGCCCTTGGACAGGATTTACAGTGAGCTATTTACTCCTGGTTCTCTTCATAATGAATGAATAAAAAAGGTATCTTGAAATGTCTTCATGTAAACATTTAAAATACATAACAAGCCATGTCCTAGAAGCATCTAAGTTTCCCCCACAGCCTATAAGAGGGTTTCTGTAATAACTGGCTTGGGTGTTGACATCTGTCCTTGGTCAGATGAAACATTCCTCTGTGCTGTCACTCGTAGGCACTTTGGCCATGTCCTCAGCCTCACCTTTCTTACAAAACGGCCCCGTATATAACACACTCCATGGTTTCAGGCCACCCACAAATCGATGGGAATGCTGCACTGCTTTTAACAAAAAGACAAGCAGAACCTGTATGGTTTTATGTACTTCTGGCACACTTCAAAATCCTCACTTTTCCTAGAGGTGAAATGCTTGAAGAGGGAAAGTAGCCACTCTAGTCTGGAGCAAGCTGGGACAGACTGTCTTACTTTACTGGTATTTTACCAGCATAGATAATCCATTTCTGTTTAGTATACTGTCACTTAGCATGTCAGTACTGCTGAGGATAGGGTCATTGTCCCAAAGGACAGCAAGGCACATGCAAAATGGCAAGTGTGAAGTGGCAGCACAGCACCACAAGTCTGAACACCACCAGGATGCAGCTCTTCCAAGCTGATGTACTAGACTGTAGTTACAACAAAATCTACCTTCCCTTTTTTCCAAGGCAGGATTGCTGGACTACTCAATACATTTAAATGAAGATTTAATATCTCTCCCAGAGTTTTATTAGATCTATATTCAGGTTTTGAATGCAACATGTGTAGGAGGACAGCACAGGATTTAGATTAGACCTTCCTCTAGGTTGTCTGGAATGGTTTTCATCCTCACTGAAATTTTGAAACTTGATTATTTTGTAGATTTCTCACAGTTACAGAATACATTCTCATGCTAAAAGAGGTTCACTGGTTCATCGATTTCCCTTTTGATCAATTGAGTGGAACAATTACAAGAATGAGAGAACATCCCAGGTAATTTGCATCTCACTTAGCTGCCCAGATTATTGAAACACTAATCAGAATTGCTTGACAGGTAATTCACAGTGCCTGTTGTAATAAACTCAACTCTACTTAAAAATGCTGGTTTTAATAACATATGTCATACCAATTTTAGTACATTTCATAGCAGTGCCATAACATCTGTACAGAATAAAAATGAAAAACAATGTGCATTTTGGACTTCTTAAAACTTTGTATCCAAATCTTTTTGCAAAATGTGACCCATTTATCAGTTATATGCTTGTGAGACTTTAACTTAGCTTTTTTTTTCCCCCACTCAAAATCTCCAAAAAAATACTCATTTAAGTTCAAGGATTTATCCATGGAAGCATCAATTCTTTGACCCTCAATACAATATCAAAGAGTATCCAAGAGTATATACTATCTGATAGAAGAGTAAATATACAAATAACTTGCTCTGAGATTTTAAATGTACTTTTGCAACTTTTTCAGATTAATAATTAATTTGTACTGCCCACAAAAATGGTAATAGATAGGTGTAGCATGAAATGTACCCTCATCTTAACTGTGCCATACTTTGGGCAAAAGCAACAACCTATTGGCTGCCTTTGTCTTCAAAGGTGATACAGTAGCCAAGCATAGAGGACAGAGACTCACACTCTGTGTCTACAGTGCTAACTGAAGTCTAGGACAGCTTTAGTACATTACCTTCATAATAAATCCATTTCTTACCCAGGTTACTGTCTACACTGCCTAGAAGAAGCCAACACTGGAATATCTGCAGACATCCAGAGGTCTGACATGCCCAAAAGCCAAAGAAAGCTGTTGTTGGAGGTGGAGGGTAAAGAGTGAGGTAGTAGACAAGAATCTGGCCATGTAGTTTAGAAAGACAGGGGTGGATAGTATGAGAACCAGAGACACTTGGAGATGCTAATCAGGTTTGGCTGAGATATGTAGTGTGTGAGTGAGAGAGGAAAAGTTCTACTCTGTACAAACCATGCTGTGGAATTGGGCAAGGTCAGAAAGTTTAATCACATTCATCTAGAGGCTTAAGTTTACTGGATAAAAAGTGTACCTGGCAAGATGGAAATGCATTTTGTCCTTTTGACTCTGCTTTAAACTGTGTAATGCTAACTAACTCCTTTAGCTGTACCTTAAATGTAAACTGTGACTCCACTTGTGGAACATCTGAAATTATATATACAAAACGTGTCCACTAATACCTAAACATATCATACAAACTGAGACAAAGGCATTTAATCCTACCACACTACCATTACCAACCACTGAAAACAACCCATTATTTCAGCTGAAGTCATGTAAAAAGAATATGATAGAAAAAGCCACATTTAGTTATACTATTAGGTAACCAAAATTACATTTCAGCATAGGTAAAGCAAAAATATCTTTAAGGACCAGAATATTATTTAGCTAAAAGTATCTTAAGATGCTGAAAACTGCATTCTCCCCTAACTTTAGGTTGTCTGACATTTTAGAGCCAAATCCAGGCTACTCTCCAGGCTTCTTCTTTATAATGAGACAAAGGCACCTCCAAAGAGCAAGGCAGCTCAGCTGACCAGAGCCCCTCAGAAGTCTCTCAGAGGGGGCTATGGGATCAAATCTTAGGCAGCTGGATATTTAACCTCTGCTGCTAGTGTTAGGAAAACATGTATTGCATCCTAATTACCAAACATATATACACTGGCCTGCATATACATCAAGTTTGCTCAATTTGCAAGGCACATATTGAATTTTAAATTATTACTTAAATGTTCCAAACTCCCTTTTCACTGCAAAACCATAGGGTGGGATACACGTTCACCAAATGTCAGCAATTTAATGGTTAAGTAGCTGAAGAGAAGCAAGGGATGAAAACACAGAGGCAGGGGTCAGTATTTTCTGCAGACACAATATGAAAAATTAAATCTTACTAAATCTCAGTAAATATGAAAGAAAATGGTTAAGCAGCTTAGGGAGCATGGCTAAATTCCACTGATTAGGAATGACACTCCGATATTTGAGAATTCCTTCTTTTGGGCCACCTGCCATGGTGACCGACTTAGAAAGGTTTAAATCACAAGTGACTTTAGTAATTATTTGGATTGGTTAGACTAATGTGAAGCAAACATAAGGTTCACCAAAAAAAAAAAAAAAAAAAAAACACAAAAACCCACCGGCAAAAAAAAAACCCACTCAAAAAAACTCCATTCAAATAGAATACGTTTCATTTAGAAACAAAGAGACAAAATTTCCATGTTGTTCCTGTTGTTTTCCTGCTTTACTGAACAGATGAACAGTAAAACCTTTTTGCCCCTGCTCAGGTGACAGCTTCAGTTTTCTAAGGAAAATCATTAATAGACTAAAATGATACTTTTTAAAGTAATTTTCTCTTGCCTATTTTTATTAGAGCTACTTTTCTTGTCTTCAACAATTTAATATCTTCCCTGTGAACCTGTAAACATCTAGACTCAGAAAAGGCCAAAATTTGCATCTGCTGTTTAGTAGCAATGCCTTTCCAGCTACATTCCAACAGTAAGAGAAGAAAGAAAGGAACTGAGGTGAGTGCTAAAGAGGATAATTCAAAAGAGGAAAGAAAAGGGCAAGAAAAATACTTGAATAGTAGTCAGAAAATCCTCAGGCTTTGACAGTGTTTACTCATACAACTTTGGTCACAAACTATCAAGAATTAAAGCTGCGAGAAAATTTCAAAATCTGGAAAAAAAAATCAGGGAAAAATTCTCTTCAGTAAACTATCAAGAGTTAAAGCTGTGAGACAATTTCAAAATCTGGAAAAAAATCAGGGAAAAATTCTCTTCAGAACAATTATAACAGCTTTCCTTGACTTATTTTTAAAATTTTCTAGCTTTAGAAGTTTTAAATCTATTTTCAAATTTTCTAGCTTTAGAAGTTTTAAATCATGGCATGTAGAATTAGCAAAGCAGCAGATTCTTTTCTTCCTAGAAATGTAAGGGCAGAATTCTAAAAGCTGAGGCTCAAATATATCTGCTACAAGTACATGCTGCAGAAAAAAGAGAAAACACTTTTTATGCTACCCTGAAAATAAATACCAACTCAGTTTAGAACAAAGTTCAGTAATTCAACTCTGTGTCCACCCTAAATGAAAAAAATCCTTGTCATTCCCATTTTATAAGAAGATGTAATGTTTTATGCAGTGTTCTCAAAAAGAAATCACAAAGCTATTCCAGTCATATGCTGCCTGTAGTCCTAAGCCAACAGAAGTTAACACAGTTATTATTCAAGACTCTATATAGCGTAAAGGAAATATGGATGAGAAATAGATCACTGGTCGATGTTCTACATGCAAACTTGCTTTATAATCAATATTTTACTTCCTTTCTCCATTTTGTACTGACCAAAAGCTTTTTCTGTATATGCTTTTGTCCTAATGTTTACATGTTTTCTAAAAGAAGTGCACTTTGTAAACAGAGAAAATGAAGGCAAAGGTATCCAGATGTCTTGCTGGTCTCTAGAGTGATAAACAGAAAAATCCTTGTATTTAATCTGCATTAAGTATTTCTGTCCCACTACAGGGTTGCTAATAATTAACCTTGTGTGTCAGCTCCTGTTCTACGGACTGCTGATTTTGTAAATTCATGTTCACATCAAAAGGATTAAAAGCATAGTTTAGCAGATTACAGTGCATTATCAGAGTGGGCAATTACTTTGGTCTGATTCAATTATAATTCTTGTTCCTGTCACAAGTGTACAGTAACAGCCTAAGAAGAACAGGGCTGAAAACTTTTTCTAGTGCACCCAACAGTTTTAAACCCCCCCAAAAAAAACCAAAAATAAACCCAAAATAAAGGTTTGCAAGTTGGGTATATGGGAGGCTGAAGATAACTGTATTCCATCCTGCTATGCATATGTTCATATAATCCCTGTTTTTATACCATCCTTAGGCAGCTGTGGACACAGCACTCACATAAAGACAGTCCAAAATAAATGTGATCTCATGAATTAATGCATCTAGCACACAATAACACAAACAACAAAATCTGTTACTTGGCTGACTGCTGGTGTGTGTTTTAGAGGTAATTCAGAGAAGATATTCCTGACCCATGAAATACCCTTACAAACACATCCCAATCAGTAGTAGCTCTCTAAGCCTTGTATGAGAATAACCCTACAACTGCATGACCAAAGTTTGTGTCATTATATGATAGCAGAAGCTCAGAAAATTCCATGAAACTATCCCTAGGGTATCAGGGGCAAGAGAGAAGCTTGAAAAAGCAATTGGTTATGGAGCCTACTAATGTCATCATCATAGCCTTGTTAATGTCACCAGAGTGAATTTTGGTGCATGAAAATTATCTTCAAATCAATGACTCTCTCATCCCTCACAGAGGATTAATGGCAAAGGGAAATTAGATCTGTCTTATGCAGCTTTAGCCCATGTCAGGTCCAATCTAGAGGGAATCAGAAATCAGTACACAGCAGACTCTCTAGTACACAGCTGTCCTTTGTCTACAAAACAGAGCCTTACCAAATGCCATCAGTTCACTTTCCTTAGTAGATTTATTTTCTGCAGCATACTGCCTGGCCAGCAACAGTTTCTCCAATCTTTTAAATGTTTCTACTGTTATGGAAAATCTCCAGGGAAAGAAATTATGACAGTGTTTCCAGTTAGAGGTAAATTTTATACTTCACACCACTTTGGCTACATTCATAATGCCAACCAGAAAGGACCAAGGCACAGGCCTGAGGAACATCCCACCATCACCCATGGCATGCTCTGGTCCAGGCAAACTGAACTTTCCTGGTTAGTGCCCAAGAACAGTTTTGGAGACACAAGAGACTGATCCCTATGTGCATCTTGACTGCACCGAGTCTGCTCAGACATAAAGGGTGTTAGGTGGATTTAGCAGTATGAAGACAAACCTCACCAGGCCAGTTGACCAAGTGGGCTGAGGACAGTTTGTAGCCATTTCCTTCACAAGGCACGACAGACAGACCTTTCCCACTGTTTGCCTCACTGTTCACATTAGAAATATGTCCCAGAAAAAAAAAATAAAAATCACATTCTTAGTCCAAAGTTCAAAATCTTGTAATATACAGCTGAGCCTTGTAATATACAACAGAAGCTTCTTTAAAAGGTTGGAACAGTTAAGAAAAATCAAGTGATCTACTGACAGTGAATTTAAGCTTTTCAACCACAGTGATGGGAGCAGATTGTTGCAGTGGAAGAACTGGAGTTTGGTTCCAAGTTTTTGTCACAAACCATACTCATTCCCTCTGTTTGGGCTTTTACTTATCATATTTAAAAACAAAGGCCAGACGATTATAAACAAAGGTTTACAATTTAACTTTGCACCAAAGCCAGAAACAATCACAGGACATGTGTTTCTGTATTTCTCTGTACGATGCACATCCTCCTGGTATAGAACAAGGTTAAAGAACAACTAGCATTTACCTTAAAAATTAGCATTTGTGCTGAAAAATAATTTCAGCCCATGATACTCCAATATTACATATGCTCAATTAGAAAATTATTCCATACTTACTGGTGGTCCCCGAGGTCCTGTTGGACCTGCTTCTCCCTCTGGCCCCCGCTGACCCTGTTTTGGGGAACAGATTTGAAATTAAACAAGTATGAGAAATTACTTTTTGCACCATGCAAATCTTTTTATTTTTCTACATCTTTTGAATAAGATTAATGATTGTACCTGCTTTCCAGAATTTCCCATCAACCCTGGCACTCCAGGGGGACCTTTATTACCCTGTTGGACAGAAGATGAAAAATATCAGCCAAGCCAATGCTATGATGCTCCATTTAAATACTAACAAAATAAGAAAAACAGTAAGATCAAAAACAATAATAAATCATCCAGTATTCATTTTTTAACTCCCACCTTTATTTTAGTTTTAAGTTTCACCTAATTCCTTCTATCTAGTTTTTCAAAAGTCAGATTTCAGTTCCTTTGTCATTTACATGCTGACAAATCCCAAATGGACTTGAAGGCTGCTTTCAAAAACACAGAAGACAATAGATTTCCATGTAATTTCAGACAAAATTCATGTTTCAATCTAGCTTTCTTTTTCAATTATTTACAGCTAAACTCAAACATTGTTGTCCAAAACATTCCATAGTCTCAATAATACATTTTTTTTAACTTAATTGGGATTGATGCTGCAATTTGGTGGTACCTAAATAGATATAAACTTTGTGATTCAATCAGCTTAGAGTGGCTGTAAATATTGTTCTAATTATGAGATCCTTCACTCCAAACTGTAGTGAGGTAGCCATGTCACATCCTCCTCTAGCAATGACTTCCACAAATTTAAAAGGAAATGGCCTTTTTAAGGTACTATTTAATGCCAGTAATCACAAAAACATTATGTAGCAAAATAATCATGAAAATGCACAGGGCTAGAGTTGATTAAGAATGTATTTAATTCTTTCAGCTAAAGACTTGTCTCTTACCACAAGAGAAAGTCAGTAAACTTTCACTGAATACTTTAGATCATGATAAGCACAATATTGCTGATAAGCACAGTATCAGAGGAAAGTCAATACTCAAGATGTTTTACCTTTGGGC